TGAGTGGATGGATGGATGAGTGGGTGCGTGGGTGGGTGGACAGATGGATGGACGGATGGACAGATGGATGAGTGGATGGATGGATGAGTGGGTGGGGGGCTGAAGGGTGGGATGGATGGATAGATGGATGGATGATGAATGAATGGGTAGATGATGAATGGATAGGTGATGAACGCATTCCCATACGAGCTAACAATGGGGGCAGAGACTTCCCCACACCCAGAGCCCTCTAGCCACACCTCCCACGTGACGCCACACCTGGGGGGCCCTGCGGGCTCCCTGGCTCACCACAGAGCCTCTCGTCGGAGCCATCCAGACAGTCCTCTTTCCCGTCACACAGCTGCTCCTGCTCCACGCAGCCCAGCACCTCGCAAGGCACCTGCCCTGGGCTGCACTGCACGGGCGGGAAGGGCCCTGGGGCGACGCTCTGGCCTGTGGCACCAGCACAGCCAGCTGACCGGGCACGAGGCCCACCCCGCCCTCCCTCCCTCAGCCACCTCCCAGCAGTGCCCAGCCCTCTTTCCGGTATCCGGTGTGCCCTGCTTCCTGCTTCTCTTAGGATAACGGAAAAGTAATGAACGGCATCAGGAGGCTTGGGCCCTGGGTCTCGTCCTACCCAAACTCCGACCTCATCCCAAGCTGCGTGGCCTAGAGCAAAGTGGCCAACCTCCCAGGGCCTCTGTACCCGCACAGGGAAGTTGCTGGGAGGCTCAGGCTTCATAGGCAGAAGGCGGAGTGATCTTACTGGTAGGGGCCACTGGAGGCACTAGGTGGGGGGGCGGTGCTGTCACGGCAGCTGTTCCTGGTTGCAGGGCCTTGGCCTCGGGCTGGGATGTGGGGGTGACGGTCGTGGTCTGCACAGATTCCCCAGGACTCGGGAGAGGCGCCTTGGAGGCTGGCACATGGCTCACTCGCCCCTTCCCTGGGGGTGCAGGAGGGAGAGGGGTGAGGCCCGTCGGCTCTTCTTCCCCGAGACGAGGCCAGAGGGTACCCCCAGCCTTGCAGTGGTGCCGGGTGGTGCCACCTCTGGTTCCCTCTGAGTCCTCGCCACCCTCCTTCCCTGGGGGCTTCTCCGCCAACCCCAGACCCACTCACCGGGCGGAGCACAGCGACAGCATGATTCTCCCCCTCCTTCCACCAAGACCCAGCCCTGTGGGCACAAGAGGCCACCTGCTTGCCTCTGCCCCTGTCCCCAGCTGTCCCCAGCTGTCCCTAGCTATCCTCAGCTGTCCCCAGCCCTGGCCTTCACACACCAACCCCTCCCACTCTGCCCCCACCACATCCGCGCCCCTCACCTGGGGGCAGCTGCCCAGTGGGCAGTAGGGGGAGCAGCGTGCAGTGCCACCGTGCAGACACTGGCAGACCACGCAGGGGCCCCCTCGCCAGCGCTCCCCGACGCGGTGGACCCGCCCAAGGTGATCGCAGCCTTCACAGGGCTCGGTCTGGCACCTGGGAAGGGAGGGCCGCCCCTTGCCCGGTGAGTGGCTTGCCCCGGCGACCAGTCCTTCTTGGTTTGCCTGGAGTAAGGGGTCTCCCAGGACCTGGACTTTCAGTGACAGAACTGGGAAAGTCCTGGACCAACTGAGACTCGGTCACCCTATAAGCCAAACCCTGTTTCTGCACCCGAGAATCTGCAACTGGCCCAGGAGAGGAGCGTGGAAGGGCCCTTGGCCCGTGTCACCCATCCCCAAGGGGGCTGGGCAGGCAGATACAGCTACACCTCCACGAGCCTCACACAGGCCCCTCCAGAGGCTCGGGGTGCAAACCAAAGACCCGTACCCGCCCGGGGACGTGTCGAGTTGCATTCAAGAGCTCCCTTCAGCCCTTTAGGACATAGGGAGCATAAAACGAATGTGGGAGAAGGCCAGGGGTCCCCAAAGATGTGCTGGGGGGTCCCAAGGTTTAGACTAATGGGGTGCAGAGTGGGGGTTTCTCCTTGGGGGAAATGCGGAAGCACCCGAGTGAGAAAGGGCCCACAGGCAGCTTCCTATCAGGGAGCGCAAGGAGGGGCACCCGGTCCCTGCAGGTCTCAGGTGGGTGTCGAGTACCTGCGGGCTTTGCGGTAGATGCCCCGGCACTGGCGACCCTGGCCCGAGAGGCGGGGGTTGTTGGGGCTCCGGAAAGACCACTGAATGCCCCGGCTCCCACAGGGGCCCAGGCACTCAGCCCAGGGGGACCAGGATGACCAGCCACAGTTCACTGAGAAAAGACCAAGAGTCAGGGCCCAGAGGAAGGCAGGCGCCTGGCTGGGCGGTCTGGGAGGAAACCGGGGACCCCCGGGCAGGGCGGGGGGTGGGACGCACCAGCACAGTCAGGGTTGGGCCGGCAGCTCTGGGGCCGCCCGTCTCGGCAGATGCAGAGCTGGCAGTCGGCCTTGACGTGCTGTCCAGGCCGGTAGCGGGCACCGTCCACCAGGCAGGGGCACTGTCTGGGCCACACACACCGGCCCTCATCGCCCAGCACCTGCCCCGCAGGGCACCAGCAGCCTGGGGAAGGCCCAGAGGGAGGCTCCCCTGTAGAGGGCTGGGCCTTGAAAGCACGCCCGCCACTCCTGAGCCCGGAGTCCCCTCACCTGGGCTGCTGCAAGGCCGGTCAGTGGGGCACGCCACCTGACCTGAGATGTCATCGCAGGTCAGAGGGCAAGGGGCGCAGGGCCAGAACACCAGCTCTCCAGAGCAGGTGGCATTGGGGCAGCTGTCCTGAGGGCAGGGCTCTGAGAGAGAGCGGGACTGGAGGTCGGGAGGGGGGTCCCCTGCAGGCACAGGCTGCCCGCCAGCAGCCCCTCTGCACCCCGCCCGCCGTGCCCTCCTCCATCGCACTCACGGGTCTGGCGGGCGCTGTGGGGGCCCCCGGGCAGCAGGGCGCAGGTCCGGCCCCCGTTCTGGGGCGGGCGGCATTGCCGCTGCCGGGCCATGGTGCCCGTGCACGGCTCAGGGCATGAGGACCAGGGCGTCCAGGAGGCCCATTCGCCGTCCACTGTGAGGCGGGGGCACCATGAGCTGGGGGTGGCGGCCCAGTGGCCTCCCTCGCCCCTGTCCTTCCGGCCCCGCCAGCTGCGCTGCCTTCCCCAGTGCCCAGGCCCCTCACCTGGGCAGGCGGCCGTGAAGCAGGCCTGGGTCTGGAGCTCGGGGCCAGGGCAGTGCCGCAGCACCGGGAGCCCGGGCGGGGAGCAGAGGCGGCTCCGGGCCTGCACCCCGGGCCCGCACGTCCGGCTGCAGGGCTCCCACGGGCTCCAGGGGCCCCAGGCCCCACAACCCTGCTCTTCTGGGGAGGGGCCCGCCTCGCCCGCCAGGTCACAGTCAGGCTGCCCATCGCACACCTGGGGAGGCATGGGTCAGAGCTCTTTTCTCGCTAGGGGGCACAATGGCTTTGCCTGCTGCACCCCCCGCCCCTCACCAGCTGGAAGCCGATGCACAGGCCATCAGGGCAGGAGTACTCTGGGCAGGGAGCCCGTGTCCCGTTGGGGCCTCCTGGGGCTGGCAGCCCCTCTGAGGGGAAGGGGAGAGAAAGCACCGTTAAGCAGAGGGCGGCGGCCCCCTCATGCCTTGCCCTCCATCAAGGAACCCAAGTCCCATTACCACAGGCCAGCTCATCCTCGCCCTGGGGACAGTCAGGGACCCCATCGCAGAGCCGCTCTGGGTGCAGGCACACTTGGGGAGCCAAGGCACAGGAGAAGAGGTCACCGCATGGGGGCAGCTGGGTGGAGCCTGTGGACACAGAAGAGTCCTCCTGAGCTCCTGCCCCTCCCCGCTCCCCCTGCAGAGGGGCTGGACGGAAGGGCCCAAGGCCCAGAGCAGAAGCAGGTGGGAGACGGAGCCAATATGCACCCGCACCCCGGGGAGGTGTTGCGACCTGCGGGCAGTCGCCCCTACTTCCGGGAAAGGTGGCCAGGACATCAAGGGCTGACTCGGAGGGGCACAAAGGGAACCCCCAGGTCTGGCGATGAGGGGCTGGGGGTAGCCTCCCAACCGGCCCTCTCCCCAAGCCCAGAGAGCACCCCCCCACACACCCCATCTTTCCTAAACGTAGGCAAGAACAAAAGCCCCTTTCTTCTCTACCCTGGGCCTGGGCTGGAGGGCACGAGTTTTCAAAGACAGTTTCATGATAAAGGTCAAAGGAGGCCGATGCCCCAGACCTAAGTCACTCTCGAGCTGGCAGGCCACCGCAGCCCGGAGAGCGAAGGTCCCCTGGGGGTGGGGAGCAGGGGCTGCGCGGGGGGAGGGGGTGGCTCAGAGCAGGCGTCGGGGCCCTCGTCC